CCCATGCAGTAAAATGCATTTTTGCTTTGTTCCGTTCCCTTGCGTTCAGTTCTGTTCCTGTTCTTTGAAGTGCCATGCAATAAGCTTATAAGATCCCCAGACAGCAGGGCTGATTGATGGTTCTGGGAACTGTGGTCCATAAAATAACATAGAAGCTGTGTAGACCATTTCAAGTAGCAGACTTCATTTTTGCTTGTGATATTATTTTTACGAGTATATGAATACTCCTTTCACTTCCTCCACCTCCCCCCCTTCCTGTTAAATAAATTATTTGTCTTGTCTTTTCTTACCCATTGCCTTACCAACCTTTGAAAAAGCATGGGGCTGGAGGCACTACATGCTATTGGGATTGGCAGCCATTCCATCAGTCCTATTTCTGTGTGAATCCAAAAACCATAGTTGCCTCCAGCAGAAAGGGGATATGGGTAGGAACAACAGGGTTAAATTTGTTTAATTCATATATCCTGAGCCAGTGCCTTATGGATTTATGCTTGATTGAAAAGTGTTCAGGAATTTTAAAAAAAATCTTGCTATAATTAGCAATAATAGTATTAAAAAGTTGACTTTCTCATCTTACTTTTGTTGATGTCTTGTAGTCCCTATTTCTATTATGACTTAGTATAACATACCCTCCAACATTTTAGAGATGAAAAGTGGGACACATGTAGCCAAGCAACATTGTTGTCAAGATGGCAAAAGTTATTAATAAGGAAGAACAAACAAACTAGAAGAGGCTGCACTATATTACTTTTGCCTGAGTCTACTAGGAGGTGTGAGATTTTGCCCTCTCTTCTCCTCTATCCCCCTCTGAGTCAATTGCATGCAAGATACTCAGGCACTTTGAATGCAGTTTGGAGCAACTGAAGAAAGCTGAGGACGAACATAGGTGAAAGCCACCACATGTATACTAGATACTTGCCATTCCTGACTTTTAAAAGGGGACTGAGTAAAGGAAGTGGTAAACACCTAACTGCGGCAAGCAACATATTCAGGGGTATAAAGATATCACTGTTTTGTGGATTTGGGATGATGATGTACTTTGCCTCAAGGTAAGGGGGGTTGCAGACTGCCAGAAATAGTGCAAATTGAGTCCACTTTAAGGGTTAGGATTAGGGTTAGGGAATCATAGGAACTGTAGTTTATTGTGGCATAACTAACAGATCTGAGATCTCTGATAGAGAAGGCTCAATGTCTCATAAAAAATCCCATGATTCCCTAGCACTAACCCTAACCCTAAAAGTGGACTCAATTTGCACTATTTCTGGCAGTCTGCAACCCCCCTAAGTTTCTGTCCTGTCTATAAGAGACTGTGGTGAGGCCATTATTTAAAAAAGGCCTCCCTGGGCCCCACTATTCTGAGTAACTATCAAGCAGTCTCTCCTATTTCATTTTTGGTCAAGGTCCTGGAGGATGTGGTGGTCTCCCAGCTCTAGGATGAGATAAATTATCTAGATCCATTTCAGTTTGGTTTTAGGGCTGGTTATGGGATGGAGACAGCTTTGGTTGCTTTTAGTGGATGACCTACACAGGGAACTGGCTGGGGGAGTGTGTATCTGTTGGTTCTGCTGGACCTCTCAGTGGTCCATTGACCACTTTCAATACCATCGGCCATGGGCTGCCTCTCTGAGATGGGGCTCAAGGGAATTGTTTTATAGTGGCTCCGATATTTCTTGGAGTGGTAAGTTACTAATCTCATACTATCTGAATATGACCACTGGTAAACTTTCATAAATGCATTATTCCCAATGCACCAGAACAACCAGATAACAATATACATTAAACTTTATACAACACGGTGATAAGCCTAATCAGCTACTGAGGTGAGGCTTTATGCCTTTTGTATCTGCAAAACTTCTAACAGGCTTATCAAAATCAGTTTCCTGACCACTGGTAAACTGGTAGACATAACCTCTCTTTAAAAAACTCCAAGGAAGAAAACTCCACCACTCTCTGAGGCAGCATGTTCCACTGTTGAACAGCTCTTGATGTCAGGAAGTTCTTCCTAATATTGAGGTGGAATTTCTTTTCTAGCAGGAAACAAACTTGCTCCATCTTCAATATGACACCCCTTCAGATATTTAAACATGGCTATCATGTCACCTCATAGCCTTCTTTTCTCTAGGCTAAACATGTCCAACTTCCTAAACCACTTCTCATAAGACATAAAGTTTCCAGACTTTTCATCATTTTGGTTGCTCTCCCCTGTTCACGCTCCAGCTTGTCCACATCCTTCTTGAATTGTGGTGTCCAGACATGGTAGACCTTTAAAAGTTTCTGAGATATTTGACTTGGCTAAAATATCTTTCTGCTGATGCTAGTATAGCTGGAATTGTCAACAATGTTCTCAAACTAACACAAACATTTAGAATTACATTCATCCCTCCCTGTTCACAGACCTGAAGTCCACAGTCTTGCTCTTCGTGGAAGGGACAAGCAGAGTGATAAAATGGAGACGTGTGCCTGTGCACGGCCACAAGCACACATGCTATTATTTTCAATGGGACTCAAATATTTGCTAGTTTCCATTTTCACACAACTCCCCTTCCCCCAGAATGGATCCCCCACAAATTGGGAGGGGCTACTGTATTTGTAGTGAGTTAATACATTTTTGAGGGAGGAGAATGCCAGAGATTCAAGCAGATCAGGCTGAGAACAAGGGTCTCGCCCAAAGTTACACATTTAATTCTATGGCTTATTGGGAATTTTTACTTGGATCCCCCAAGTCCAGCAATATAACCACAAAGCAAACAAGGACTTATTTTACTGAAGCAATATTATGATCCTATTCCTGGCAAAGAGCCAGTGTGGTGTAATGGCTTGAGAGTTGGACTAGGACTCTGGGGAACAAGCTTGAATCCCCATTCAGGCATGGAAACCCACTGGGTGACCTTGGGCAAGTCACATTCTGTCAGCTTCAGAGGAAGGGAAAGGCAAACCCACTCTAAACAAATCTTGCCAAGACAAACTGGTGATACATTCACCTTAAGGTCTGAAATGACTTGAAGGCACATATCTACAAATTCCTGGCAAATATTGCAAACATCATGTCACTACATTTGGTAGAAACATAGTGGTAACTAGTTTTGTGACTGTCATAGCAGAAAAAAATGTATCAAAGCTTATGTGCAATACAATTTTCCACCTTACCTCTACAAAATATGCAAGGAGGCTGGAGAGAACACTACTACATCCTCCCTCTACACCATTCCTTGTTGCCTTGATGCCTAAAAATACTAAGAGAAAATCAAGATAATACATAAACACCGTAATAAAGTAACATATTTACCACATAATGGGGTTGATTGTAGTCTAAGCAGAACAGAGATCCCAGCTACCATTTGCACCATTTACAATGAAAGGAAGTAGTATGGTAAGATTACTACCTGTTGCAGCTGGCAGTCATCTACCACTGTAAAGTTTCCTAGCCCAAAAGATTGCTGATTGTACATTAAGTTAATAACAACTATGAGTACACAGTGATTTTGAAAACAACAATTCTTATTTTGTTACTATGTAATTGATTTTCACA